CCATATGGACTTAACAGATATGTACAGAACATTCCATCATAAGGCACCAGAATACACATTCTTTTCAAGTGCCCATGGAACATTTTCAAGAATAGATCACTTACAAAAAAAAAAAAAGAATAGATCACATACTAGGTCACAAATCAGGCCTCACAAGTGCAAAAGATTGAGATCATACCATGCAACTTTTCTGACCACAACATTATGAAACTTGAAGTCACCACAAGAAATAATTTGTAAAGACTACAAATACATGGAGGTTAAACAATAGACTACTAAACAATGAATGGGTCAGCCAGGAAAACAAAGAAGAAATTAAAATAAATAAATAAATGGAAACAAATGAAAGTGAAAACACAGCAGTCCAAACCTTTGGATTGCAGCAAAGGAGATTCTATTAGGGAAGTATATAACAATGCAGGCCTACCTCAAGAAGAAAAAAAAATTCTCAAAAACAACCTAACTTTACAACTAAAGGAGTTAGAAAAAGAACAATAAAGGAAGCATAAAACCAGCAGAAGGGGAATAATAAAGATTAAAGCAGAAATAAGTGATATGGAAACTGAAAAAAAAAAGTCAATGAAACCAGAAGCTGTGTCTTTGAAAAAAATTAATAAAATTGATAAATCCCTAGCCAGATGTATCAAAAAGAAAAGTGAAAGGAACCAAATAAATATAATCACAAATGAGAGAGGAGAAGTCACAACCAACAACACAGATATACAATTATAAGAGAATATTATAAAAAACTATGCTGGCAGATTGGACAACCTGGAAGAAATTAATAAATTCTTAGAAACATATAAACTACGAAAACTGAAAAAGGAAGAAATAGAAAACTTTAACAGACTGATAATCAACAAAGAAATTGAACCAGTAAGCAATAATTTCCCAACCAACAAAAATCCAGGACCAGATGACTTTAAAGGTAAATTCTACTAAACTTTTATTTTTATTTATTTTTTATTTTTCTTACCAAACTTTTAGAGAAGAGTTAATACCTATTGTTCTCAAACTATTACAAAAAATAGAAAAGGAAAGGAAATTTCCAAATTCCTTCGACCAGCCTAGCATTACCCTAATGCCAAAATCACATAAAATCTCCACTAAAAAAGAGAAATATATGTCAATAAAAAAGAGAAATATATGTCAATATCTCTGATGAACACGGATGCAAAAATTCTCAATAAATTCTAGCAAACTGAATCCAACAGTACATTAAAAACATCATTCACTACAATCAAGTAGGGTTTATTCTGGGGCTTCAATGTTGGTTTAATATTCAGAAATCAATAAATGTGATACACCACATTATTATAGGAAAGGATAAGAACCATATGATCCTCTCAATAGATACACACACAAAAAAAAGCATCCGAAAAAGTACAGCATCCATTTTTGATAAGAACCTTCAACAAAAGAGGGACAGGGGGAACATACCTCAACATCATAAAGGCTGTATTTGAAAAGCCCGCAGCTAATATCAACCTCAAAGGGAAAAAATAGAGAGCTATTCCTCTAAAGTCAAGGATATAACAAGGGTGTCTACTCTCACAAATGTTATTTAATATATTACAGAATTCTTAGCAATAGCAATCAGACAACAAAAAGAAATGAAATACATCCAAATTGGCAAGAAGGAAGTCAAACTTTCACTATTTGCAGATGACAAGATACTATATATAGAAAACCCAAAAAACTCCACCAAAAAGTTGCTAGAACTGATACATGAATTCAGTAAAGTTTTGGGATACAAAATCAATGTATAGAAATCTGTTGCATTTCTACACATCAATAATGAAGTAGCAGAAAGATAAATCAAGGAATAGATCCCATTTATAACTGTACTAAAAATCATAAGATACCTAGGAATAAACCTAACCAAAGGTAAACAATCTATACTCTGAAAACTATAAAAAATGGATAAAAGAAATTGAAGATGTTAGAAAGAAATGGAAAATCATTCCATGTTCATGGATTGGGAGAACAGATAGTGTTAAAATGTCTATGCTACCAAGAGCAATCTATACATTCAATGCAATCCTAATCAAAATAACATCAATATTTTTCACAGACCTGGAACAAATGATCCTAAAATTTGGTTGGAAGAAGAAAATAACATAAATAGACAAAGTAATGTTGAAAAAGAAAAGCAAAGCTGGTGGCATCATAATGCCTGACTTCAAGCTCTATTACAGAGCTGTAAGCAGGGGTGCCTAGGTGGCTCAGTCATTAAGCATCTGCTTTCAGCTCAGGTAATGATCCCGGGGTCCTGGGATCGAGCCCCACGTCAGGCTCCCTGCTCAGCGGGAAAGCCTGCTTCTCCCTCTCCCACTCCCCCTGCTTGTGTTCCCTCTCTCGCTGTGTCTTTCACTGTCAAATAAATAAATAAATAAAATCTTAAAAATATATATATATATAAAAAACAACAAAGCTGTAAGCATCAAAACAGTATTTACTAGCACAAAAATAGACACATAGATCAATGGAACAGAGTAGATTGCACAGAAATGGACCCTCAACTTTATGGTCAATTAATCACTGACAAAGCAGCAAAGAATATCCAATGGGAAAAAAGACAGTGTCTTCAACAAATGGTGTTGGGAATACTGGACAGCAACCTTCAGAAGAATGAAATTAGACCACTTTCTTACACCATACACAAAAATAAATTCAAAATGGATTAAAGACCTAAATTTGATGAGAATACAGGAAGTAACCTCTTTCACATTGGCTGTAGCACTTTCTTACTAGATATATCTCCTGAGGCAAAGGAAACAAAATAAAAAATAAACTGTTGGGACTTCACCAAAATAAAAAGCTTCTGCACAGGGGTGCCTGGGTGGCTCAGTCAGTTGAGCGTCTGCCTTCAGCTCAGGTCATGATTCTGGAGTTCCAGGTTCAAGTCCCACATGGAGCTCCCTGCTCAGTGTCTTATCTCATTTGTGCAATCATCTATTCAATAGATTTGTACTGAATGTTTGCTGTGTTGCCAGGTACTATCCTATGCACCAGGGCTACAGCTGTGGACAAAACAGAAAAAAAATCCATTCAGTCTTGAAATTTAGAATTTAGTAAAGGATGCAGATATTAATAAAGTATTCAAATATTAAATTACAACTCTGATAACTGCTAGGGCAAATTGAACACAGTGTTTGGAGAACATATAATGGTAGGATGTCTACTGGACCAAGTGGTCAGAAAGAACTTCTGAATAAGTAACTTACTTTTCAACTGAGATCATAAAAAGTAGTTAAATAAACCGGGTATGTCACAAGAGGCTAAGTCTTCCAGTCAAAGGGAACACTATATAAAATGTCCCTTCACAAAAAGGAGTGTGGTGACTATAGAACTGAAAGAAAGTAAATATGGCTAGAATATAGAATGAGGGTAACCAGGGTTGAAGATGAAACTGGAGAGATAGGTAAATTCCAGAATATTCAAATTTTTGTAAACCATGTTATAGGTTATAGTCATTATCCTAATTGGATAATATTTGAGGTATTTAAGTATTGAAAGTATGAAGTCCAAATGATAGGTATTCATCCTTTCTGATGGCTGAGTAATATTCCATTGTATATATGAAACACATCTTCTTTATCCATTCATCGGTTGAAGGAAATCTCAGCTCCTTCTAGAGTGGCTATTGTGGACATAGCTGCTATGAACATTGGGGTGCATGTGCCCCTTCTTTTCACTACATCTGTATCTTTTGGATTATGCTAAGTGAAATAAGTGAAGCAGAGAAAGATAATTATAATATGGTTTCACTCATATGTGGAACATAAGGATTAGCATGGAGGACCACAGGGGAAGGGAGGGAAAAGTGAATGGGAAGGAATCAGAGAGGGAGACAAACCATAAGAGACTCTGGACTCTGGGAAACAAACTGAGGGTTACAGAATGGAGGGGGTGGGAGGATGGGGTAACAAGGTGATGGGTATTAAGGAGGGTACATGATGTGATGAGCACTGGATGTTATAGGCAACTAATGAATCATTGAACACTACATCAAAAACTAATGATGTATGATATGTTGGCTAACTGAACATAAAAATTATGAAGTGTTTGAGTATTGAAATATTTAAAGAGGCATGGTAATGGTCAGTGGTGATATGAACAAATTTGCATTTTGAAAAGATTATTCTAGCTACCTCCAGAATCTGACAGCTTAGAAGAGGGCAAGAATCTTTTTTTGATAACTTCAGATAAAGAAAATGCACATTGGAAATGAAATAGATATGAGAAATGGAAAATAAAATGAATATGATTTATTGCTGGATTATATATAGGAAATGAGGAGAAAGGAAGTGTCAAGAATTACTGCTAGGTTTTAAATTGGATGAATAGTAGTGTTATCTGCTAAGATAGGGAACATTGGGAGAGGATCTCTTCTGCTTCCCAGGCAGATGGTGGTATGAGTAAAATTTGGGGCCTTTTGAATTTCAGGTTCTTTTTAGTTATCCAAATATAACTGTCAGGTAGTTGAAGTATAAGGGTCTGGGGTTCAAATGCAGGGTCTACGCTAATATATATGATTCTTGGAGTCAAGGATGGTCATTGATGCCAATAGCATAGATTTCCTTGGGCAAAAATATAGAGTGAGAAGAAATGTATATAAACTTACTTAATGACTGCCAGCATTTAGTGACCAAATAGCTATGCTTGAGCTTACACTGAGACTTAAAGGAATGGCTATAAACAAAAGAGGATCAGGAGAGTGTTTAACACGAAAGACAAGGAAGAGATTGTTATTTTTAACGTGATATTTGTAAATACTGTTTATTATATATGTGAAGTCATGACGTATCTGAACAGATTATGTATTTTTATCAGTGGCTAGGATGATCCGTTCTGAGAATTCTCTTTCTGGTCTTAGTGACTGACAAAAAGTTTAAGCTGCAACCTGTATATTCTTGTGATTAAATGCATCCCACAGTTTTGATCAGAATAATGATTTGTAAAGTCTCTATTACTGCTCTTCTGCTGCCATTGCCGCCATCCTCTATGCGACTCACCTCGCTCGGATCTGCCTGGGAGAATCCACCGCTCTCCGCCACCATGGTGAACTTCACAGTAGACCAGATCCGGGCAATCATGGACAAGAAGACCAACATCCAAAACATGTCAGTCATCGCCCACGTGGACCACGGCAAGTCCACGCTGATGGACTCGCTGGTGTGCAAGGCCAGCATCATCACCTCCCCCCCGCACTGGGGAGACCCGCTTCACTGACACCTGGAAGGACGAACAGGAGCGCTGCATCACCATCAAGTCAACGGCTATCTCCCTCTTCTATGAGCTCTCAGAGAACGACTTGAACTTTATCAAGCAGAGCAAGGATGGCTCCAGCTTTCTAATCAACCTCATTGATTCCCCCGGGCAGGTGGACTTCTCCTCGGATGTGACTGCCGCCCTCAGTGTCACCGATGGTGCCTTAGTGGTGGTGGACTGTGTGTCGGGTGTGTGCATGCAGACAGAGACAGTGCTGTGGCAGGCAATTGCTGAGCAGATCAAGCTTGTGCTGATGATGAACAAGATGGACCAGCCTCTGCTGGAGCTGCAGCTGGAGCCTGAGGAGTTCTACCAGACCTTCCAGCGCATAGTGGAGAACGTCAGTGTCATCATTTCCACCTATGGGTAGGGCAAGAGTGGACCCATGGGCAACATCATGATCAACCCTGTACTTGGGACTGTCGGCTTTGGGTCTGGACTCCAGGGTTGGGCCTTTACCTTGAAGTAGTTTGCAGAGATGTATGTGGCCAAATTTGCTGCCAAGGGCAAGGGCCAGCTGGGGCCTGCTGAGCGTGCCAAGAAAGTGGAGGACATGATGAAGAAGCTGTGGGGTGACCGGTACTTTGATCCAGCCAAGAGCAAATTCAGCAAGTCAGCCACCAGCCCTGATGGCAAGAAGCTACCACGGATGTTCTGCCAGCTCATCTTGGACCCTATTCTCAGGGTGTTTGACGCTATCATGAATTTCAGGAAAGAGGAGATGGCAAAGCTGATTGAAAAGCTGGATATCAAGCTGGACAGTGAAGACAAAGACAAAGAAAGCAAGGGCAGCAAGGGCAAAAATGAACTATTGGGACTTCATCAAGATAAAAAGCTTTTGCACAGCGAAAGAAACAGTCAACAAAACCAAAAGACAACCAAAAGAATGGAAGAAGATATTTATTTGTAAATGACATTATCAGATAAAGGGCTAGTATCCAAATTCTATAAGGAATTCTATAAAGAACTTATTAAACTCAACACCCAAAGAACAAATGATCCAATCAAGAAATGGACAGAAGACATGAACAGACATTTTTCTAAAGAAGACATACAAATGGCCAAGACACGTGAAAAAGTGCTCAACATCGCTCAGCATCAGGGAAATGCAAATCAAAACCTCAATGAGATACCACCTCACACCAGTCAGAATGACTAAAATTAACAAGTCAGGATGTTGGCAGGGAGGCGAAGAAAGGGGAACCCTCCTACACTGTTGGTGGGAATGCAAGCTGGTGCAGCCACTCTGGAAAACAGTATGGAGCTTCCTCAAGAAGTTGAAAATAGAGCTACCATATGATCCAGCAATTGC